GCCTATAATCTGGGCTGCTCCTTTCCTGCCATACAGGTGGTCCTCTCTCAGGGGGCCAGTGAGTTCCAAGATTTCCGCCTTTCCAACTCCAGGCTTACAGGAAGGCCCCATCCCAGTAGGCTTCCAGGCAGCCTCCTGCTCTCAGCCTCAGCTAGGACCCCTCACAAATGCAGCCCTCTGCCTCCAAGGCCTTCCTTCAAAAGCCCCAGAGCAGGATATAATTCCAGAGGGACTGGACTCCAGAGCCTCTCAGCCCTGAGCACAACTTGACCCCTCTGGCTACTACATCTGAGCTGCTATTCAGCTCCTGTCTAACCATTAGGATCTAGCTCCCCCTAGCTAAGCTATGAGGGTGCTACATTAGCTTCCTGTAATAAATATTATGGATTGAGCCTGGGTTTGGTCCAAACCTGTAAAGCAGCAGCTGTTAATTCAAGGCCAATGGTCTGTGAGTGGGGGGATTCTGCAACTGCATGTACACAAAGGGGTGGGGATGTTCATGACATCATTGACCTAATATGGCCACATGGCCTATTTACATCAATCTCATTGACCTAGCTTTTATAATTTTTTTTATAAGGGTGATAGTTTTAGCTCTAACTCATATTTCTCTTGATCAGCCCACACATGAAGCACAATGCAAAGGGCAGCATGGTATGGTAATTTACGGCAACCAATTGAAAACATTTTAACTTTGTGAATAAGGGATACATACCTGCATATGCTGTCCTGAAGGACACTTGTGTGCCATGCAAATGCTAGATATGTGTATATGGTTAATTAGCTTTCACAAACTTGTAGCAGTATTAAACATACTATATACACTCACATCTTAGTTGTCAGTTTTTCTAAAGTGTGCCTAAACCAAAGAAGAAACATGGATTATATTGAGATTACCATTACTCAGATGTGGTGGCTATTTGTTCTCTTTTTTTCCCTTTATTTTCACCTGGTGATCCTGCCAGTAAAACACTTCTGTCCTAAGGTGAGAATGCTCGCTCACCATACTGTATCTTTGGAATAGTGCTGAAATCGTAGGACAATACTACAAACACCTAACCCACACAGGAAGTCATCAGTTTAGACGTTTTCATATAGGTTTTCACAGATCAACATTTGTTTTAACTTGTCAAACAGAAATAGTATAACACTTTCAATTACATATTTAATAGAGCAAATAAGAGAATTTAATCATCAAGGGTCACAAAGTGAAAGCAAATGCCTGGTTGGCTGCTATAGGTAGTGGCGTCTCTCTTAAAGTGTTACTAAACCCACAACAGTAAAATCTGTAAAGTATGCTTGTTATGCTCACTGTGGAACATAAGGGGTTAATCCTCTGCATTGTGTAAAAAGGCTGTTTTATCCTTTCTTCTATGTTCCTCCCCCTTTTCAAGCGACCACCACTTATCTCCAGACTGAACCGTAGGCATTCACGTGCTCAGTTTGGTGTATATTGCTAGATAGGTTTTTGTTTCTTGGGAGAGTGCATGTGATCAGCACAGGGCCAATCAGCACTGTCCAGACAGAGGTCAGGGGTTCTACATCCTCCTAGAGCAGAAAGAAAACTCCTCCTACAAGCTTTAGCTAGTGCTGGGCTGGACACTGATAGAAGCCACAAGAATGCTCCAACTGCTGATAAGAAAAGGTATTTAGCAGTTTATATTAGCTAAAATAATTGCACTTCCATGTTCTGTGTACTGTGGGAGACCAGATATAGAGATGCAGGATCCTGGATTTAGTAACACTTTAAGGCCCATACACATGATAAGAAAATCATACGAACATTTACGTGTGAGGAAAGATGGGTCAATTATCTGACAGCCAATTCCGACTGTTCAAACAAAAAAAAACCCAAAAGTGCAAGCTAGAAAATGTTACGTGAACATAATGTATGATTTTCGCTCAATGTGTACAGTAATTATACATAAATAATTGAATAGAAAAGAATACGACTGATTGGAAACAAAGAATGACCCTGAAGAAGGTGGCAACAAAAATAGAAATCATACACAAGAAAAAACGTTTGCCTACATTTGCTTTTGTTGGCCAATAATTTTCATACAAAGTTAACACCAGTCTCGGCTACATCATGATACACACCTTCATGGAAAATTGGACAATCGTTTGTCTGGTTTTCTCACTGTGTGTACAATACTAGGCTTTAAGTCCCTTCAGTTTCTAAAAATGATCTTCTCTGAATATTTTGCAGATAATAAAGTGGAAGTAAGCTCCCATGCATGATTTTTACCTATAGGTAAGCCTATAATACTGCCTACTATAGTTACTGTAAATATCTCCCATTTAGGAGATATTTACTTTTGATGCAGCTGCTGATGTCACCGGTAAATCCTTCAGAGCTTTGTGCCACAGACAGTGACTCCCATGTATGGGAGTGATGTCATCACGGCTCAGCCAGTCATACCATTGAAGCCAACAAACCCGAAGGGAAGCGCCTACAGTGGTGAAACGGTGAAAGTGCGCCGCTGGAGAGCTTCATTTTCAGGTAAGTCTGTCATGTGCTAGTATGCTCTGCATACTAGCACATTATTACTTAAACTGCCCGGGGGGCCCCATTTTTTTTCTATTTGCTGTGTTTTACTACCTCTTTAAGGTTGGCATGGTAGGGTACATAGCTATAGAATTAGTTATTATACATAGCCTTCAACAATTAATTGTTTAGATTATGCCTAAATATAATATTATTCGAAAAAAAGTCAAGCAGGTATAAAAACAGGCAAATTTCATGAGGAGAGCTTGAAACCGTTCTAGATAATTAGAGATAAGTTATATAACCATTAATCATGAAGCCCATTTGCACCTGTCACAGGATATTATGTTAGCACAGGAAAAGATAACTTATTAGCAATAACGCAAATATAGTTTAATGAGTACCTGCTAGCTTTGCATAATTGCAATTTGAATAAAATATTTAAAGTGATTGTAAAGGCTTAAGGTTTTTTACCTTCATGCATTCTATGCATGAAGGTAAAAAACCTTCTCTGTGCAGCAGCCCCCCTCTAATACTCACCTAAGCCCCTTGATACAGCGATGTGCACTGGAGTTTTGGCTATCCTTGATCTCGCTCTCCTCATTGGTTAAGACAGCAGCGGGAGCCATTGACTCCCACTGCTGTTAATCACAGCCAGTGAACCAATGAGAAGAGAGTCACGGCTCCGTGTGTGAACGGACACATGCAGCAGCAGGTGCCCCCATAGAAAGCTGCTTGCTGTGGGGGCACCCACCCAGAGGGAGGGGCCAGGAGAGCCTGCGGTGGTTTTGAGAAGAGGACGATCTGGACTGGTCTGTGCAAAACCACTGCACACAGCAGGTAAGTATAGACATGTTTGTTATTTTTAGGGAAAAAAGTGTAAGCCTTTAGTATCACTTTAAGTTAGTAATGAGTAACTGACACATCTAATGTGAAGAGATGCCCATAGCAAAAGCAAGAACAAGAAAATAGCGCAGGGAAGACATGACTAGGTTAAAAAGGGGGTAGGAAAGACAGGAAAGGGTTAAAGATAAAAGGTGGGAGTTAGAATATGGGCAAGTTACCTGATTGGTCATGGGGGGGTGCAGGGTGGGGTCTATGACACCTTTGGGTGTGGATGGGGAGGGACTTCCAGTTCAGTGCAGGAGGAGACAGCGGTGAGCGAGCTTCCCTCCCGCCCTACCTTGGGGTTTGTGTGGGTGTTTTGTCAATTCCCATTTTTTTGTTCTGGTTCCAGGGATGGTTGTTGGTCTTTGTAAGCGGCACTTACTTTGAAGCTAAAGCTAATGGTTGGGACCCATCGGTGGTATGGTGTTCCCAAGTGCATTCTGGTTAACCGAGGTTTAACTGGAAGATGGCGGTTCTGCACTGCAGATGGTATGTTTTGTCTCCGAGCTGGTGCGTTGCTGCTGGAGGCCTAGTTTTAATATAGGTTCCGCAGGAGGATATCGGTTTTGGTTTGGTGCCTTCGAAGACCAACAACTTCTTCTGTATGTTTCTGTTTTAAGGAATGTTTTTATGTATTAGTGTATTTAAGGAATGTTTTAGTGTTAATAACAGGCTGTGTTGGCCATTTTACTCCAATCGGGGTTATGTTTTTCTTTAATGGTATTTTAAGGGGGTATGTGAGAGAGTGAGACAGTGATGTAGGGGGTCTTACCTAGTCTATCTCTTGTGCTTTTGTTAAAACACATAATACATGCTTTATTTGGTGAGTGAGTGAGTGAATGAGTGGGTAAGTATGTCTATATGCAGTATTATTTGCACTTGTTTGCTTGGGTAATCTATTCTGAAGAGTCTGTTTGAAAAAAAAATAGGCCCCATTAACACCTGAGAATTTTGTAGCTGAAGCTCCAAAATGCTCAACATCCAGAATCTCATGGTGTTTAATTGTGTTTGTTCATACCACAGTTACATAAGCTTCAGGCCTGGTTCCCACCTTTTTGCACTTTACAGTGTGTTTTCAGTTTTACAGAAACACACTACAGTCCATAGTTTCCTATGGGTGATGTTCACTTCTGTGCATTTTCCACTGCTTTTTTTGGAAAGGGTCAGGAACTTTCTTTCCTGCAGGTTGCCTTTTTTGTTTCCGTAGACTTCAATGGAAACGCAGCGGAAATGCAACAAAACTGCTTAATAAACACATTGCTTGCATTTTTGATGTGTTTCTGCTGGTTTCACCAACAAAACAACAGACACCTGCCAAAAATGCAGAATGCATCAACAACACATTAAAAACATGTCAAGAACATGTGTGAAAAATAATGCAAAACACACTGGGAAAATGCATCAACCGCAACCTGCATAGGTGTGAACCAGGCCTCAAGCTTTTTTGGCTCCAATAGACTTCAACAACAGCACCTGAATTTTTTCTTTACTAACTATATTTCTATCGGCTAAAAAATTATTTTAAAAAAAGCTTCATTCTCAGATGTCTGCAAAAACACCTGTACAAACTCTTGAAGAAATGCTTGCAAAACAACTGAAGATGCTCAGCTCAACTGTGAATATGGCCTAAATTAGGGCTGAAATTTTCACTTTCCTGGCAAGTGGAAATTATAGTGGGGGCGAGTGTGTCCCCCAGGGCTGTCTTGCAGGCTTGGAGCTCAGGCCGGATCTGTCTTTGGCACTGGGAGCCGTCAGACTGCTCAATAGCTGACCACAGTGAAAGCAAAGGAAGGACTGTGCTGTGCTCTCTGCCTCCCCCTAGAGTGCAGTACCTGGCTCTGTGAGTGAACAACGAAGTACTGCAACTTTTTTTGGGTGTATGTGTGTACGTGTACATGTGTGTGTCTGTGTATGCATGTACATGTGTCTGTGTGTATGTACATGTGTGTATCTGTACATTTGTCTGTGTGCTTGTACATGTATGCGTGTGTGTGTACATGTGTCTGTGTGTGTGTGCATGTACATGTGTGTGTGTTTGTGCATATGTATGTACATGTCTGTATGTACAGTACATGTGTCTGTGTATGTATGTACATGTGTCTGTGTGTATGTACATGTGTCAGTGTGTGTGTATTTCTGTGTATGTACATGTATCTGTGTGTATGCGTGTCTGTACGTGCCTGTGTGTGTATACATGTGTCTGTATGTGTGTGTGTGTGTGTACATGTGTCTCTGTGCGTGTGTGTACATGTTTCTGTGTGTGTATGTGTGTGTGTGTCTGTGTGTATGTACATGTCTGTGTGTGTGTACAGATGTCTCTGTTTGTGTGTGTTTGTTGGTGGCGAGTAACTCTTAAGTCCTGGCTAGTAGCTCAGGACGTGAAATTTTAAGCCCTGGTCTAAATGACAGGTCTTGACTTATTAAAAGAAATGGACAAGGTCAAAGAGAAAGTGCTGTGAATATTACAGGCATGCCTGTGTTGCTGGTTCACATGAGCACACGTAGCAATCACTATACTTTCACAGATATGCTAAAGTGTACACTCTTATTCAATACATACAATGCAGTCTGCATTTTCAGTATGGAAAGAGCTTCTGTATAGGGTTTTTTTTTTTTTTTTAATGCAGATATAATGCCAAACAAAGAAGTAGCTTCTAAAAAACTGTATATAGTACAGGAGGGGCAGGAGGGGTTCGAGGAAAGGTGGGGGGGTCTGGGGAGGGTGGGTAACGGGTTGTGTATAGGGGGAGAAGGGAAAGCATATCCTAAACTGTCTATATCAGTTTTCTTTTTAACCACCTCCCGCCCGCCATATAGTAATAAGACGGGCGCAAGATGGTTCTCTCGTTCTGGGAGGACGACATATGACGTCCTCCCATTCTCACTGTGCATGCGCGGCTCAGGAAGTGCGCAGGGCGGCGATCGGTAGTGCACTGTTTCCCTCAGACACAGTGGATCACCGATCACGGAAAGAGCCGAAGATGTCGGCTCGGTCATGTGATCAGCTGTGTCCAATCACAGCTGATCACATGTAAACAGGGAAATGCCGGTTATCGGCTTACCACGGAGGGGACATGTACACTGATCATCAGGGCACTGATGATCAGTGTGCCCTGATGATCAGTGTAGCCCCAGCAGTGCCACATGTCAGTATCCATCAGTGCCTTATGTCAGTGCTCATCAGTGCCTCGTGCCAGTGTCCATTAGTGCCATATCAGTGCCACATATCAGTGCCTATCAGTGCACATCAATGCCACATATCAGTGCCCATCTGAGCTGCCTTTCAGTGTCACCCATCAGTGCCAGTCAGTGCCACCTATCAATGCCAATCTGTGCCACCTATCAGTGCTGCCAATCAGTGCCACCTATCAGTGCCAGTCAGTGCTGCCTATCAGTGTGCATCAGTGCCACCTGTCAGTGCCACCTAACAGTGCCAGTCAGTGCCACCTATTAGTGCCAGTCAGTGCTGCCTATCAGTGCCATATATCAGTGCCATGTGTCAGTGCCATGTATCAGTGCTGCCTTTCAGTGCCCATCAGTGATGCCTGTCAATGCCCATCAGTGCCACCTACCAGTGCCTCCTCATCAGTGCCCATCAGTACCACCTATCAGTGTCCATCAGTGCAGCCTATTGGTGCCCATCAGTGCAGCCTCATTAGCGCACATCAGTGAAGGAGAAAAATCACTTATTTACAAAATTTTATAACAAAAACTAAGAAAAAACATTTTTTTTTTTTCAAAATTTTTAGTGGTTTTTGGTTTGTTTAAGAAAAAAGAAAAAACCCAGAGGTGATTAAATACCACCAAAATAAATCTCTATCTGTCACAAAAAAATGATAAAAATTTCATATGGGTACAGTGTTGTTTGTCCGCACAATTGTCATTCATAGTGCGACAGCGCTGAAAGCTGGAAATTGGCCTGGGCAGAAAGGGGGTATAAGTGTCCTGTAGGCTAGTGGTTAAAGAAAGTTAGCAGATCAACGTAACTACAATAGAAATTTATGACATATATTGTGAAAGGGCTGAACACCCTGATAAAAAGACATAAGTACTCAGGGAAATCCATCAACACTCTATAGAAGTAGTATTTCTCCAAGAAACAAACTTAACTCGAGACACAAATATAGATTATATTCAAACTTTCTGTCAGTGTGGTACTATGCTGACTCACCAGTTAAAGGGACCAAAGGAGTGTCAAATGGGTTTTCTAAAAATGTTAATTTTTCCCTGGAAGGTAGATTGGAAGATTCAGAGGGCCAGTTCCTATTTCTCAGGGGAAAGTTACAGGGTTTGGAATTTACATTAGCTAATATATATTGCCCAAACAAAAACCCAGTGATATTCTTAGAGGGGATGTTAAAGAAACTCTCTGAGTTTAAAAAGGGAAATCTGGTCGTGGCTGGAGATTTTAATCTGTGTTTAGATTGCTCAGTTTGATGCGTTGTCATGTGCACAGAGAGAAGGAAGTAGGAAGTTGAAATTATTTAAGAGGTTATTATATAAACACCAATTGGCAGATACGTGGAGAGTTAAACATCCAAGAGAAAGAGACTATACCTTCTTCTCTCGTGTACATAGTTCGTATTCGAGACTGGATTATATACTGATAGAACATAGACAGTTGGAGTTATTGGTTAGTTCCAACATAGAGGTCATGTCTATGTCTGATCATGCTCCCATCACGATGAGATTACGAGTAGGAGGAGGTCATGATAAAACAACTATATGGAGATTAAATGAAATGCTCATACAGGATCCTGAAGTAGAGAAAAAGCTAAGGCGAGAAATTGAACAATTTTTCGAGCTTAATGAGACTAACGAGGTCTCTGAGGCCACAGTCTGAGAGACACATAAAGCATATATTAGGGGAATACTGATTTCAGCAGGAACAGAGCAAAAGAAGGAACTAGGGAAAAGAATAAAGATGGTGATGGAAGAGCTTTATAAGTTGGTACGGGTACATAAAAAAAAAAAAGAGGAACAGATATATACCAGAAGATAATACTTAAAAGAGATGAGTTAAAAGACCTTATGGAACAAGAGTCGAGGAGGATATTTAATAGGGTCTCAAAGGAAAGATACCAGTTTAGGAATAGACCTGGAAAATACTTAATGAGAAGGTTAAAGAAATCCAAAAATTTCATAGGAAAAATTAGATATGAGAAAGTAGAAATATTGCATGCTACCTCTGATATCGCCAATAGGTTCCAAAGATATTATAGTGAACTTTATAATGTGAGCTGTGGTGATCAAAAGGAAAGGGAAGATAAAACAAAAAAATCAGGCAGAAATATTTAAGTGAGGTTGAGCTAGCACGATTAGCGCAAAAAAAATTAGAGACCCTCGAAAGACCTATTACTCCAGAGGAAATTAAAAACCCAGGGCCAGATGGATACACAGTGGGATATTAAAAACATTTTAGAGATCTTCTTATCCCTAAAATGTGTGCCAGTTATAGGCCTATATCATTATTAAATGTAGACACTAAACTATATGCTAAGGTGTTGGCGAGGAGATTGAAGAACGTGATGATGGAATGGGTACATCTAGACCAGGTGGGTTTTATCCTGGGAAGAGAAGGTAAGGATAATGGTTTGAGATCCCTGATACTGGTACAAACAGCTAAGAGAGAGAAAGTGCCGGAAATACTCCTATCGACTGATGCCGAAAAGGCTTTTGATAGGGTTAACTGGGGATTTATGTTTGATACATCAGAGGCTATAGGAATAGGTCCTAAAATGCTAAAATGGATAAAAGGGCTGTATAATAACCCATCATCAGTGGTTAAGGTTAACGGATCATTTTTTAGAATGTATAATGGTACTAGGCAAGGATTCTCCCTCTCTCCCTTGCTGTTTGTACTGTCTTTGGAACCTGTTCTGGCGAGGGTAAGGAAGTGTGTAGATATAGCGGGAATAAAAATAGGTGAAGAGGAGCATAAAATAGCCGTATATGTAGATGATATGTTGATCTATATTGTGAAACCTAGAATAACATTGCCTAATTTAATGAAGTATTAAAACAGGATAATTAGCTTTCAAATTTGAAAAAAACCCCGGTAAAATCAGAAATATTAAATATCAATATACCAAAGTCAGAGAAGTTGAGTCTACAAAAAGAGTTCCCATTTATTTGGAGGAAAAAGGAAATAGGATACTTGGGAGTAAAATTGACCCCCTCAATAAAGGATATATATATCAGGCAAATTATATCCCCCTAATAAATGAAATTAGGGAAGAACTAAAGACACTTTCAAAGGGAGGAGCTTCTTGGATAGGACGTATAAATCTGGTAAAGATGGTGATAATGTCAAAAATTCTGTATAAGTTCCACATGCTTCCGGTTCACCTGCCAGGATCGTTTTTTCGGGATGATAAAGAAGATGATTACTAAATTTATATGGGCAAATAAGAAACCAAGAATTAGTTATGAGGTCCTGAGTAGAGAAAAAGGGAAAGGGGGTTTGGGCTTACCTAATATTAGGAATTACTATTTAATTTTATCATGAATAGTGGATTGGACATTTAACTCACAAGGGAAAGGATGGGTGAAGATGGAAGGGATTTTAAGTAAAGCACAGTTAGAAAAGATTGTATGGATTCCACATAAGTTTTGCACATTGAATGTTAATATTAGTTCACTGACAAGGAAAGTCTTGAGTGTATGGGATAGAATGTGTAGTAAAAAAGGATGGAAATATAATACAATATTGACTCCTTTGGAGGGAACGGAGTATTTCCCTTCGGGGAAGGATAATATATTTGGGAAATGGTTAAAGGATAAGAATGCACGTTTGAAGGATATATTGAATGAAGGGAAATTGCACACTTTTCAAAACTTAAAGTAGAAAAAAGATTTATTTATCACATTTGATGAGTGGCGATATTATCAACGAAATCATTTGTTTCAAGTCTCCCTAAAACTATTGATGACGTCGGAGGATATGTATCCATTTGAAAACTGCTAAATGAAAAAATAATTCCAAAACATGTTACTTCTAGGATTTACAAGATCCTAATGGCTATGGAAAGAACTGATCCTCCAGGGTTTTTGGAAAAATGGGAAAAAGAGCTTGGGACAGAATTGAGTATAGAGCAATGGAATAAAGTTTTCAAATTAACACATGAGGTGACAAATATGAGCACAGTTGAGATGAATTATAAATGTTTAACTAGATGGTATATTACACCAAACATAGCTCACAGACAACAAGTAGATACATCACCTTTGTGCTGGAGAGGATGTGGAGAAAGGGGTACAATGGCACATATATGATGGGGTTGCCCAAAATACAGGATTACTGGAGAGAAATAATTCAATATATTCAAGAGATATGCGGGATAACTGTACAGAAAGATCCCTTGAGTTGTTTATTCTATAACTTTGAGCCCTTAGTGAAACTATATAAAAACAGGGTACTTTATCATCTAATTAGTGCAGCTAAGGGTCTGATTCCCAAGTTCTGGCAGGTTTCTGAAGCACCAAAAATTAATGAATGGATAAATAGAGTTGAAAATATTTATAGGATGGAGGAAATATGTCATGTGGAGGAGGATAAAATGAAAAAATTCAGGAAAACGTGGTGTAGTTGGTTGAAATGTAAATCCTCTGAAAGATATATGGATCTGGTGGGAATTGGTGGAGAAATTTAGAAGTCATGAGAGAGTCTTAATGGTGATTTTGAGGGAGAGCAGTGCTGGAGATAAATAGATAAACATGAGAGAAGATATAGGTTAGGAAGAGAACGTAGATGAGGGAAAAGGGGATGGGGGGAAGGGTGTGTTTTGGGGGGGGGATAAGGGGGTGTTATGGAATGTGTATATGTGAATTATTTTTATAAATATGTTGTTCTTTTTATACTGGTAAATCAAATAAAAGTTAAAGAAAAAAAAAAAAAGCAGATCGCTGGTGCCATGCAGGGCTCTTACAGACTTGTCAGTGTATCTGTGTGCTTGTACTTCATAGTGGTAGGCAGTTACACACTGACAAGAAGCATCAATGAACTACCTAGAGTGCACAACAGTGTCCTGATAGTTCATTGAGAACTACCAGCTGACAGCTGCAAAGGCTGTCAGTACCTGCAGTTCATTTATTCACAGAACTCTGTGAATGAATGATACAGCCGTTTGAGCAGAGCCCCACACAGCCACACTGTTATTTATTTATTTCAGGTACTCATATAGGGCTGTCAATTTTACACAGCACTTTACATTTATATTGTACATTCACATCAGTCCCTAACCCTCAAGGGGCATACAATCTAAGGTCCCTAACTCACATTCATACATATACTAGGACCAATTTACCTACTAGCATGTCTTTGGAGTGTGGGAGGAAACTGGAGTACCCAGAGTAAACCCATGCAGGCACAGGGAGAACATGCAAACTCCAGGCAGGTGGTGCCGTGGTGGGGATTCGAACCAACGACCCTAGTACTCCCATGCAGAAGTGCTAACCATTTAGCCACTGTGCGCTCTTTTCAAATAGTGTCA